AAGTGTTTATTTCCTCATACAGTTTCTTGCTGGAATGGCAAGACTGGATAGTTGTGGTTCTGAGCTTTTCGTATGGCTATTCTATTTTTCGTTTGTTTGTTTGTTTTGTTTTGTTTTGTTTTTTCCAAGACAGAGTTTCTCTGTAGCTTTGGGGCTTGTCTGGGAACTAGCTCTTGTAGGCTGGTCTAGAGCTCATAGAGATCTGCCTGTCTCTGCTTCCCGAGTGTTGGGATTAAAGGTGGGTGCCACCACTGCCCAGCCCAGCTCATAAGGTTATTCTTAAATTAGTGCCACAGTCCCTGGGAACTTTAGCTGGATGGAGGGCTGAACTTAAGGACAATCAGTTATTGTTTGCTGGCTGGAGGCTTTAGTCAATCCAGTAGCTGCTCTGTAGCAGCCTGAGAGTCCTGATGATGTCAGCTGGAGTGTGTAACCCAAGAGAGATGCCAATGCTTAACACAAGATGCCTCCCACGGAGACAACTCTTCACTCTTGCTATGTAACACTGCTCAGAAGTGAGTCAGTATATCCAGCTCACTCTCAAGATAGGGAAGTAGAACTTTGTCACATAAAAGAAATGCCATCAAAAATTTTGGGGACATACTTTGATCATGATTCTTTGGAATTATTTTAATTCCCTAGGAACTTCAGCAGGTCAAGAATTTGCCATGCTGTCTCTCTTCTACCTCACCAGTGCTTCTTCCTCTCAAATTATAAGCACCTGTGATATACACTAAAATCGGTGATACTACAGACCAATTAACGCAATTAACCCCTTTAAATATCAAAAAGTTCATATTTCCACAGAACAGGTAGATTAGCTTTCTTAGAAATAGGCTTATAATTGCACCATTCTTTCCTTATGATAGAATTACAGTTCAAGTGTTCTTCCTTTAGATTTTTTTCTTCTCTACCCGTAAGAACTTCACCAAGGTGACTGTGTTGTGTCTTATGTGTCTTTGGCTAAGAGTCACTGAATTATTGTAGATTCTCCACTGTCACAAAAAAAAGATTATTTTCATCACAATGGGACATAATTTTACATTAATGGCACCAAAGAGCCATGATCCTAACCATCTGTGCCCTCTTTCTTTCCATACTGACTCTGGGATTGTCTTCATTACTTACTTCATCCCATTGAACATCAGAATATGTGATGTAGGCTGTGGTGGAATAAACACGTGGATGGGGCTGAGCTTAGTGCCTCTACTAACTGCTCCAACCAGCTACGTCTACATAAGTGAAGTCATTTGGGACAGAACAGTCCCTGGTCAACCTGACAGTTGACCACACACTCATGGAGAGCCAAAGGTGACTACATGTGACCACATTGAATAAAAATAAGCCAACCAGTTATCTCTGACTCTTCAAAGATGCTTGGAGAGTTTGCAGTGTATTCTAATTTTTGTGGTTTCAGATGTTAGCATAAACATAAAAGAAGAGTATTAGAATACCCCTGTAAGTGATGTAGCTTATCTCTAAATATCTCTAGAATCAATCAAGATCACCACATCAAAAAGCAGCAACTTGCTCTCTAAATAAGTGTTGCTTGTCTTGGGCAAATAATTTACAAGCTAAGGAGGTTTTTAGTCAATGAAATGAGGTCCAGACTGAAAATAATAGATAACGAGCAATAATAGTATCGGAGAAATAATATAATAATATAAGAATAACAGAAAAAATTAAAGAAGGAAGGAGAGAGAGAGAGAAAGAGAGAGAGAGAGAGAGAGAGAGAGAGAGAGAGAGAGAGAGAGAGAGAAGGAGGAGGAGGAGGAGGAGGGGAAAGACAGAGACAGAGAGAGGTGGTTTTAGCTTTCAGGGGTTGTCACTCAATCACATAGATTTTAATAGACAGTTGAGAAAAATTTCTAGTTGTACTGTTATGATGGTTAATTTTAATTAGGTAAATAAATCTTGAATTTAGCTTTAGTAAGATACATATTTGGACATGTCTCTGAAGATGTTTCCAGGGAGGGTTAAATGAAGAAGGAAAACGCTCCCTGAAGTTGGTGACACCATTTCAGGGGCTAGGTGTCCAGACTGAATAACTAGATGTACAAGCAGCTTTACACACTCACTGTTTTTCATTCTCCAGGGAGACAGACTGTACCTTTCCAATCTGTGAACACAATGGAAACCTTACTTCTTCAGTTGGTTTTTGCCATATCTTTAGTCACAGCAAGGAGAAAAACTGTCCTCTAGTTTTCCTTACCAAGCTTTGGAATCCTAAAGAGTCTGTCATATGTCTGATGCCAATATCTGGGCTCCAAAAATTTCCTTAGGGACAAACCAGAGTCAGTACCCTGCTCAAGGCTCCTTCTGTGTCCCTGCTATTCACCTCTCTTAATCCTGCTCCTGGGTTTTGAATGAAAATCTCGAATTTAGAATATAATAGATGTTGAATAAATATTTGTGGATTACATGAAAAACTATTTAGTAGAATATATTAGTCTTTTGCTACTAAAACCTTTTCTAACATAAAGATGAACTTTCTCAGGGATACTTAAATAAGAAAAAAACGTGAACTAAGTTATCATGTTCCTGTCCCAGTTGTTTCGTTTTGTCGTCCTTTGTCCACTTCTCTCCCCACCCCTTGAGAGTTACTGACTCTAGACAGCACCAGCCTTGGATCCCTGCTAATAATTTAACCTCCAGAAGCTTTTCTGGCTTCATGTAGGATTCAGAGTACTTGGTTGAAGGTTTAAGAATAAGTTCTGTATAGTTTTCCAAACACATCACAGCTATACATGGCTAGATTTCTTTTCCTGCAGGAGATGCTTGTTTATTCAACAGATATATTTTAAAGATGTTTTGATTTTTACTTATGCGAGTTTCTGTATGGGTATGCACAACATGGAAATGATGCAGAGGCTCCAAGACCACATTGGATTGCTCTGAAGCTGCTTGTGTGGGTCCTGGCATTAAAACTCAGATCCTCCTCAGGAACAGAGAGCTCTCTTAACCTCTGAGCAATCTCTCCATCCTCCACTTGAAAAATTTTTAAGTGGTCTTCTAAACTTCAGCTGGAAGAGTTACTTGGATACCCAAATCTTTCCAGTGTCAAAAGCTGTACTTCATTTTAAAGTTTTAAAATAAAAAGCTCCCTCATAATCAGATTATGTGAATATAGTAACTTTACTGTAAATGCCTGTTTCTAGGTGTGTACCTACTTGCTAAATTTATCACACAACACTTGATGCATGTTTAAAGTGAATACCGTAATAGTATTAGTCAAAATACAGTCTCTCACTATACTCTTCAGCTCCCAAGCCTCAACCTCAAATAGTCCTCGTGGAGGCCATGTGGAAGTCAGTATCAGCTCAGAGTCTTTGACCACCACCCTCTCAGGTCAAACGGCAGTATGGGAACACTTCTGTCCACGAAGCAGATACCTCTTCATGACAGCTTGAATTATACAGAAAAAAATGATGAGTAAAAGTCCATGCCCAAGTCAAAGCAAATGGGTTTTCATAAAGTTTATCTTATAAATATCTGATAGTGATTAAGGAAAGGTTTGCGGTTGATAGGTATTTAATCCTAATTTTATCTCAGACATTCAAAGATTAATAATATAGATTTATATGCTGGGAACAAAGTCACACATGACTTGGAGTGCCTCTGTGAGAAATGATGCTGAGGCTGTAGGACTGAAATAATTAAACTTTTTTCAGCTTCCAGTTAACTCTCAGGTTTGCTTTCAAAAATATTTAACTTTAGAACTATCAAAATTGTTAATGCTATTTTTAAATAAATTTGCTTTTTTATTTTAAAACACAACAAAACAAAAAACAAGCTCTCATAATATATTCCAGTAGTATAGACATTTAAAGTCCAGTTTGTGCTAAACTATTTTTTTACCCTGATTACTTATACACAAAAGTCTGCCTAGTATTATAACTGAAAGTGGCTTTCATTATAATACATGATAAAAATGAGGTAAGAAATGATATAAATATGTTAATTGTCAAATAAGTAGGTAAAATGTGATGTAAGTAGATTTAACCAAATTGGTCTTATTAACCAAATTAAGATGAAACATAAAATTTTAAATGTGATAAAAGTAATATTTCTATCTTAGTCTGCACCGAGACAAAAACAGCAAGTGAAAGGTCATTATCTTTTACTGGAGACTAAAGGCATATTCATTTTCCATATATATGTAAAATTTATACACACACACACACATGCCTTTTACACATCTTCTTCTTATGTCAAAAAGAAAATAGGACTGCAGTAAAATGATCCTGCTATTTGTATATGTGTTTTGTTGAATATAATTTTTTAGGGTGTATCAAAACGTGCTTTTTAAGAGTAAGTGAACATGTTCTATATTAAGGACAGTGCAGCTTATGTTATTGGATTTTCTTTCTTTGTATTTCGGTGTTTCTTCTTCCCACATTAAATCCATCAGAAAAAAGGAGATTATTCTTTATTTAATATGAGTGCATTAAAACTTTGGGGATTCTAAATTCTCTCTTCAATATGCATGAACACTTCCAAAGATTGAATAAGATAATGTGGCCTTAAAAAGTGATCATTCTATTTCCCCTTTTATTAGAATATAACCTGGAGACAGATAATGCATAATGCTGGGTAATGGATCACATCAACTAAGGCATGCCAATAAATCCTTGCACTGACCTTACACACAATGCTTTTCTAAGAAAAAATGTTTTAAGAAAAGAAAAATCTCTTCCTTATTGTGTTTTGTTACATTTTCTTTAGTAAAAGAGGGATAATGTCTGCTGTGTGTTTTTTCTCCTCCTTGCTTTCAGGGGTTAGTCATTTTAAATTGTCATTTAAAAAAATATGTACATATGTATATCATTACAAAACAAGATTATTTGGGAACTGATGGCAAAAGAAGGTAGGAAAACAAATATAGAAAAACACACAAAACAAAATCCAAATTCAAATGAAATAAATGCTAATCATTTAGTTAGTAATAAAACATTTCTTCGTACTTTTAGTGTAAAGATATTATGTCCTGACTGGCTTACCCATCATTGGACCTTTTGTGCACTCTTGTTCCTTCAGCAATCACACTGACACCCATCCTCGCTGATACTGATAATGATATCATTAGGTGAGTAATGTTGTCACAGTGTCAGGCTCACACTGGCATCTTACAACATTAAAGATGTCCCTGTGTTCTCCCTCAAGCCCTATTCCAGGCAAAGACACAATTACTCCTTCAGCCCTGCATTTAATTCCTAGCTAAGCCTCAGGAAGTGTATGGGGAGCAGTGTGGCATGTTGATCTTCTGGCACCAACCATTACGTGTGGCTTACAGACAAGCGGTTGTACATGTGTTTGTGTCTGACACAGCTGCTGATTTTATCTAGCTTGGTAGGTTTTGTCCTAGAAGAAACAGAATATTTCTTTTTACAAAAGAACGTAGTATTTTTAGGGAAGAATTCTCTTTCTTGGCTTCTCCTCTTACTTGAACCTGGTATCCGAATTTTGAGTTTCATTGCACAGAGTTTTCTAAATTGAAGAATAGAACCTACAGATGGGTTTTGATACTAACTTCTTAGAAGACAAGCAATTAAAATTAAGATGAAAATTATATCAAGTTAAGATGACTCAATGAGCAGAGTAAAGAATATCAGCTTTTATCTTATAATTTAAAAAACTTAAGTATTGTATAGAATTCTTTTTTGTTGTGGGTACATAAAGGAAAGCTTAGAGAATTGTCATTTCTGAAACAACTTTCAAATATTTCTCTTTTCTCCGGGGTCACTGTGTCTTTTCTATTTTAAAATATGAACAGTTTTTCAGAACTACTGAACACCCTATGCACTGTAAGAGGGCATTAATGCACCCTTCCATCATGATGGTTCCTTTGCATAGTTAGTGATGGCTCCAAATGATCTATTTCTAGCAATTAAATATACATCAGCTTTTATGAAATTCATCTCTGTAAATCCTGCTATCTGATGGAGGAGTAATTATTGACATGGAACATGAATTCATTGATATATGTTGCCTCCTAAATAAAATCTTTTAATGCAAATTTAAAGAAAAAGAAGAAACTCCTATTTTCCCATTGTAATTATTTAGCATTTTCTATGTTCTCAGGATCAGGTATCAGTATCCTAATTGTCTCTTAATTTTTTTTTTTGATAAGAGAAGAAAGAGAAGTTGGTGACTTCCATTACCTTTAGCCCAGATTATTTTAACTTTGGTAAAATATTTGTTTGTTTTCTTTTTTGAAACAGAATCTTCCACATAGACTAGGCTGGCCTCAAACTGGCATCCTGCCTTATCCTCTGGAGTGTTAGGATTACAAGTGCATGCATGTGTCTTCCTCATTATTTCCAAGTTCTGGTGATGCCCAATATCAAGATATGTGGTTCGTTAGTAGGCACAGATTCCAGTGCATTATCACTCACAGTATCTATCCATTGTAACAGGGTGGAGCCCAAGTTGTGTTATTATATATTTTCTGTATCACCCTTTCACTCTTACTATAAAGAATTTGGAAAAGAACTCAACCCACGAAAGTATTAATTACAACAGTTTCATGATGGCTATGGAATAAACTTTAGCAATGTGAATTAGATATTTAGAAAATTTAGAAAAAACTAATTGTGTTTCTACACTTCAACTAACAGAATGACTGACAGGAAATAAAAAGAAATGACAGGTTTGTCAGCAAACAACATATAAATTGATGACCTAAGAAGCAAATTAGGATAGAATATTTTCATAAACCGTAATTAATAATATTGACAGATGAAATGACAGTGTGAGGAATAATTGAGGAAGGAATATTTTTTCTCAGTAATGAACATTGGTTAGAAAAATTCTGTAAACTTTGAGGCAAGTCATGAAATGGTCACTTAAACTGACCCACTTTTGCCTGACCTCAGTGTTGGGTTCTATAGAATCAGTTCTGTTTTTATTCTCAGAAAATCAGTCTTAAATCTACAGGTCTTGGCTCATATTTCCACTCTCTTATAGTAGAGAAACTTGCTATAGTTTTCTGTATTTCGGTGGTAATTTTGTGAGAATAAAGATGAAGACAACATCTTTCTATGCACATAACAACCCAATGCTAATACACTGGTGCGGTTTGACACCACTTCTAATTGCAGTTTCTTGTATATAATGCTTCACACTTAGTTTTCTTAATCAAAAGTGAAGATGTCTCTGAAAATTGGTGACTGAGAAACTTAGAATATCTCTGAGAACATACAAAATATTAGGACAATGCTTCAGAAGATTGATAATTTTTCTTTGATATTTCAAATTTTACAGGGGGTTGGGACAGAATATAATTACTTTAATTTTAATTAAAGAAGGCACTAATTTTAGCCACTTTCATTTCATAAAAAGTGTAATGGAATAGATAGTGATCATGGAGCGCTCTCTCTCCTTTCTTTCAATTTATTGGAAACATCTCATCTTTCCCATTGTTATTGATGGGAAATAATGGAATCTTTGGAAGCTAAAACAACACATTTTTTTATACATGCAACATGATGAGAAAACTAGAGAAACCCATTGTACAGGTGCAGCTGCCAATAGAAGAGCCGTAAATAATGGAGACTGATTTTGGTTTTGGTTTTTAGTACTGTCTAGGCTTTTTCAAGGGCAATGAATTGAGACTGTTTCCACGTTAACTCTGCCTCAATAGATATCAATGATGTGCCTCTGTTGTAGGAAATAGATATATTTGTGGACAGCTAAGAAGAATTCTAGTCCTTTATTTCTTTTAAAGTTATGTGCAGGCAGAGAGAAAAAAATGTATGTGTGTTGTGTTGTGGTTATCATATGAGAAATATGAAAGTGATAGGGTAATGATAATCTATTGGGATTAGATGAAGCAACCTAAGATTCATAAGTAAAGGAGCAGAGGTACAGGAAAAACTTAGGTTTATTTTTCTTTCTATCAGGTTCTATGAACCAAAAGTTCTTACGTTACTGCCTTTTCTCTTTTAGGAATATCTCCAGTGGACTCTCTTTTACTGTGAGTATATTACAAATTATTGATTTCCCAGTTCAGGGATGTGGTGTTCATTCCCAAAAGTTGTAGTTGTGATCAGCTGTGAATCATCAATGTCCAGATATTCCTTACCTTATTGCACCTAGACTTTGTGACTTAATTCTAGGTAACAGGATTCCATGAAAATGGTGGTTTGTGTATAAAGTAAGAGATATCATGGGTTACTTCCTCCTCTTCTTGGATCACCTGCTCCAGAGAAAGCTAGCTGTCACACTCTGTGCATGTATATTTGGCAAGAAACCTGGATTTCATACCAATAACCATTTATTGCATGTCCATAGATGACTAATTCACAAACACATTGACTACAAGCTCATGAAAGGTTCTAATCTAGATTCACATATCTATACTGTATTTAGACTTCAGGCACTTCATTATTTTCAAGTGCTAATATTTGGGAGTAGCTTGTTGCATTATAATAGACTATATAGACAATATAATTGACCTTGTCTTAGAGACTGCACTGCTGTGAGAACCCTCATGTTAGAGTGAAGGTATATTAAAGTCAGTTGCAATAGAGAGACATCTGGCTCAAACCTAGGAAAGAGTGTGTTCACTGAACTCATGGGTGAACCTACGGTTATTTATTTGATACCCAGGTGCTTATAAAGATAGGTAGATTTAGTAGATGATTGAACCCTCAAAATGATTCCTCTATCTTTGGTTTTGTATTTAAACACATCCTTAAAACTTTCTTATTTTATTTTATAGTGCTCAAATCCTTAATTTAAAACCTTCCCAGTTTCTTATTTTCTAAAACAGTAAGACCCACGAACTTCATTTTCCTTTTGTTTAGTTTCACACAGGCTCTATGCCTAGGACCTCTCTGCTAACTTGTCTTTTCCTTCTGTGTGCCTTTTGTGGAGGGGTATGTGTCTCCCAAGGTCTATATGATAACACATTGTTCTAAGTATGGAGCTTTTTTGTCAGGTTGTGGAACTGTTAGGAGATGACATTCAGAAGGAGTTATGAATTATGTTAAATTATGTTGTTAGAAGCACACCAGTTGAGATGTATTGGGACCCCAGTTTTCCTGTTTCCCTTCCTGGTCACCAGGAAATGATTGTTTTATTGCGTATTTCCAGACTTTCTTTTACATCACAGGCCTTGGGCAATGAGGCTGGTTACTGGATTCAAATATCTGATTGTGTGAGCCAACACAAATCTTTACCCTTTAAATGGATTATCTAAAGTGTTTGGCCATAGCAACAGAAAACTGACTAAATAGTAGCTCCATAATTATAACTATTCTACTGTTACTATTACTATATTAATTAAGGCATACATTATATTTATTCTGTGTTCCTGGTGATGACACATTCTAGAATTTTACAGAATTTTTAATAAACTTTAAAAATATTTTTTATTTCTCTTTAAGAATTCCATATATTATATTTGGATCATATTCACCTTCACATCTCAGATTTTTGCCACCTCTCTACCCACCCAATTTCATTTTATCTCTCTCTTTTAAACAACCACAACAGGAAGTCTAGTTTGGGTTGTCTGATTATTCCTTGTCATGCGACTGCTCTGGTGTGTGGTTGATACACCAAGTGTCACTTCACTGAAAACTAACTTAGCTTGAATGGGAAACATATTTTTCCAAATAAATTTGTTACTTCAAAACAATATTCTCACACCATAGATGGTGAGGTGGATAAATCCATCAAAATATCTGAACTTGTCATATTCTTTATTAAGTACATGAAAAATACTCTGCAGAATACCCATGCAGTGTCCTTGACGTTTGTATTACTCCCAGGTCCACAGGGTAATGAATGCATCACCAGGTTTCTGTGCATCTCCCTCACCTTGCTCCCATCTTCTGGCTTTGATCATCAGAAGCATAGCTTCCATATCACTACTTCCTTTTGCCAGCACCTAAGAAGTCAGCATTCTTATGTAGATTTTTAGTCATTCTCAGTCGTTTCCAGTGCTACTATGAGATGATGAATAGGAGACAGGGTTTTCAGATTCTTGAGAAGGAAGTAGCAGAAGTCACTAGGATTGATTTGCTCACCATGGAATATCAGGAGGATTGT